GCTGTGACTAAGTGAGGGCACTTGGGCAGCAGTATAATGCTGGCAAGCTGTGCGTGGCTGCAGACTACTTGCAGCCTGCCACCTGCTTTTGTTTATGTAAATACCGTTTTATTGGAACATAGCCACATCTGTTTGTTTAATCTTGTCTATGGCTGTTTTTCACCTACAGTGGCAGAGAGTTGAGTCATTGTGATAGCACCTAGATTGTCCATAAGGCCTAAAATCCTTACTATCTGGCCATTTACACAGAAAGTTTGCCACCATCTGGTGTGAATAACTGAATGGGAGTAAGATTAGAGGCTGGACACCAGTGAGGAGGAGGCTGCTCTCACACTCCCTGAGCCTGCACGAAGGCCTGAAATAGTAGGGCTGGAGAAGGGGTAAACCGAGTGGAATGGTGATTATTTATTTCTTTGGGGAAAGGACACTACTGTTTATTGAGTGTTTCCTCTGTGCAAATTCCCCGAGCATATTACTCACGGTGCTTCATGAAATCTTTACAATAGCTCCAGAAAGGAGATATTAACCCCATTTCAGAAAGGAGAAAATTAATGCTTAGGGAGGCAAGCAGCTACCTGAAGTCATAAAAACAAAGAGGCAGAGCCAGGATATGCGTCCCCAAGAACTCACCAATAAGCTACCCTGCCCTTCATTACAGTGCAATGAGTGAGGGAGAGAGGAACCCAGGGTGACATCAGAACAGACCACGTCTCATTAAATGACAGAAAGACAAGTCTTATTTTTCTGAGCATCCATAATTGTGACTGTCTTTGGGTTTTGAGATGGTATTACAAGATTGATTTATGGTGATATTCAACAGTATTAACTTCAAGCCCATAAAAACAACGTTACAAAATCAAAAAAACAAAGCTACAAAATCTGTACAAATCAACTGATTAAAAACATTAAAAACATTAGCCTCAGATTAAATGTATGTAGTTCAATTAAAGGTTTTGTCTATGTGTCTTTCATTTGTCCTTAATTGAAGTAGACATTTAAAAGCAGAAAATAAACGGTGTTACTTTCAGTAACGCAGATTTTTATTTTTACTCTGAATCTTGTAATGGTAATTGGAAAGAGCTACACATTTCCGACCTCTGGAAACTTGTTTCTTCTTGCCCTAGAAAGTGATACTAGAGACTTTTGCTCAGGAATTTTAGGACATAACAGTTACACCTCTACCTGTAGTCAATTACCCCAAAGTAATATGACATATTACTACAGCATAAGGAGGCACGACTCCACCACTCGTCTGTCAGTTATCGTATCACTGTGGTTTGTGTGTTTCTGTGAGGCTGGAGGCTATGCCACCAGCATTTCAAATACCAGCAGGGTCACCCATAGTGGACAGGTTTCAGCAAGGCTTCAGGCTAAAACAGACCGCGAAGAAGGTTGAGCCATTCACTTCTGGAAAAAATGGTCACTGAAAACCTTAAAACAGCAGTGAAACACTGTCTGACATATTATGGAAAACTTTATGAACAGCCCTGAAAACACTGTCTGATACAGTGCTGGAAGATGAGCCCCTCAGGTTGGAAGGCACTCAGAGTATGACTAGGAGAGAGCTGCCTCCTCAAAATAGAGCCAACCTTAATGATATAGATGGAGTAAAGCTTTTGGACCTTCATGTGCTGATGTGACATGACTTAAAATGAAAAAAAAAAAAAACAGCTGCAAACATTCATTAATTGGAATGTGGAATGTATGAAATATGAATCTAGGAAAACTGGAATTTATCAAAAATGAAATGGAATGCATAAAGATCAACATCTCTAGGCACTGTTGTTGTTGTTGTTGTTATTTGTCGTTGAGTCAGCCCCGACTCATAGCGACCCCTCCTTGGGTTTC